GAGGCCAGCCTGGGCTACCAAGTGAGTTCCAGGAAAGGCGCAAAGCTACACAGAGAAACCCTGTCTCGAAAAACCAAAAAAGAATCTACTAATTGCAAAACCACACTCTCAGAAGTCAGTACGAAAAGAAATCAGTCCTTCATAAAATGTTGTGGAACAGAGACAGCTAGCTTTGTAGCTACAGAGCTCAAGAGACCAGCTGTCCGGGCTAAGTCAGGCTCTGCTCGGCCAGCAAACCTGCAGCCTGCAAGCCTTGCCTCTCCCCTCCAAGCTTCCACGTACTCGGTCTCCTCCCACAGCCATAGGGCTGACACACAACACAGGCCCTGGTTATTCTCCAGCTGAACTCCATCACTACAGCCCTGCTTCTCACCAAATTTTATATGGGAGAGGTAGGAAGGGCAAGTTCAGAAAAGCATTTGCTTCTTAGCTGGCAGTGTATCTGCCTCGGACTCTATTATGTTCATAGGCAGCCCCTGGCCTAAAGGGGGAGCAACAAGAGCTCCTCTCACACACTGGGGGGCTAGGGGGAGAGCTATCTTCCTACATCTGTTGGGGCAAGTCCAGGAAGTTTCTGGAACCAGAGGCTGTGCTACCCATCCTAAGATCTGAAGCTTACCCACCCTAAAGTGTTCCCTATCCCCTATCTGTAACTCGCTCTTCCTGTTACCCCAATTATCATTGTTTCCACGCACATCTGAACTAGTAGTGTCCTTGAACGATGACAGCCCCCGGGACTCTGGAGCACACACATGTGTTCACCTGTCGTTCACTAAGTATGTGCACACTCTGCCAAAGCCAGAGAAAACACTACAGGGTTGGCCACAGGAGTCTGTAAGGGGGCAGAGGAAACCACCGATTTACTTGTCTGGAAAAGTGCTAGGGTACCAGGCAGTGGCATCTAAATTGCTTTCCTAAATGGTACCTAGGAAAGTAGAAAAACTTCCATTAGTAGAATGGTTAACAGTGAGAGTCACTGGCAAAAGATCAATCCAACCACACTATTACTCACTTCCAAGGCTCAAGAATCTCCCAGTCTGGCTGGGTAAGGAGACTCTCTTACCCAGAAATAGGGATGGCTGAGGCAGAAAAATGTTTGAGGCCTTCCTGGACAAGATAGTAAGTTCCTCTGCCAGGCTGGGCTATGTACAGTGAGACCCTGTTTCAAAACACCCGCTCCCAAAAATTAACTCAGTCTGATACAGCATTAAATATAAAATCCGATGGAACTGGGACACCAAAGTTAGACTGTAAATATGCTAATGTGTACAGAAAAAAAGACACAAAAACAAAACCCAGATATATAGCCAAATGCAATCAAGAGATTAAAGACCAATTTAATTTTTTGTTCATTTATCTACAGTTTTTAAAGCAAATATATAGTGCTTCAGTGATAAAAACAATTTGATTTTTTTTTTTTTTTTACTGACAGAAAGATGGGCGGTTTAGAATATAAAATTGTACAGGAAGGTTTTGGTAGGGAGAGGGAGGAGAGGAGAGGGAAGGATGAGGGAGCCAGGAAGAGGGACAGCTAATACTAAAGATGTTTGGCAAAGCTATGTAGAAACCTACTGTTTTATATGATTCCTAAACAGTTTAACTGGAGTTATCTTCCATGAGGGATAAAGGTTGTCAAATAAAAAGTCCAGGGTCAGTAGTGGATACCTGGCCTCCAGGTGTTGATCACCAGTGTTCCAAAGAACACCACCACCACCACTACCACCACCACCACCACCACCACCACCACCACCACCACCACCACCACCACACATACACAAACAATACAGGTTACTTCTGTTGCTCTTGGCTGTCCATCAGAGCTTCATGTCAAGGCCCTATTGCTGAAGATGCACCATACACTTTCGTCTCAGGACATGGAGAAATCAAGTTGGTTTTGACTGGAAATCATCCCCTCTGCTGGCTAGCTTTCATAGCACTAGAAGGAAAGCACTATGCAGGGTGCCTGGGACAGGAGCCAGGGAGAGGGGTGGGGGGTTCACAAACAATCTTACCCGGCTGTGAACGTTGTGAACTAAAATGATGGCTGGTGTGGCAAGGTATACCCACAGGCGGCACAAATGTTACAGAGGTAACCGACCATTTTCTGATTGGACTTTAAAGCTCACTCTATAGGAGGAGATGCCTGCTGGTACTGTGACCCTAGCCAGGAATCCATGGTCGGAGAGTTCATAAGTCCCTGGGTGAACCCACTACTGTTATTCTGCTAAGCAGGTACAATGTCAAACTGAGCTTTAAGGACACATCTCCAAAACCATACATTAGTGCAGACCTCAGACCTCATCGCAAAAGTTTCCTTGTAGCAACGGATAGTGGTTAATGCAGAAACCCACAACTGATCAAAGTACAGAGAATAAATATCTGTGGGATGCTCAGCTACAATCTATATCACTCCACCACCGCCACCCCATAATACCCCACGCAGACCCTTCCACACTGAGGCTCAGAGAAAATGGAGGAAGAGGGGATAGAAAGTCTGTAAAGCCAGTGGTTTGGAGAGGTGTGGAGCAAAGCAGTTCTTCAGATGCAATGTAACTGCGCTCACAGCCGCTGTGGTTCCCTGCACAGGGACCTGCACGAGATCAAGACAGCGAACAGTATAGCATGGTACAGGAGGGCTCGTGAGTTCCCATGCCGGACTAAGGAACTGCTGGGGAAGACAGAGTCAGTGTTCCTCAAGCGTGTGACCCCTAGTAGACCAACCACGTCGCAGTGGATGGCTCGACACCCAGGAGGAAGTGAGTGGCACAAACTGGACTGTGGAAGGGAGAGGAGGAGGAGATGATAAAGACAAAAGTTGGGAGGGTGTGGAGAGGTGGGAGCTGCATCTGGGAGGAACGGGGGGGAGAAAGGCGGGGGATGAATTTGATCAAAATATACTGCGTGAAATT